TAAAGTGTATGTACATCCTAACAATGAACTTCATGTATTTGCTTCTTTTTTTAGTCTAGTAGATATATTGTACTATGGAAGTGTTCTGTTATACAGTATCTGTTCATTAACTGTGTGAAGTTGCTTGTGTTGCTGCTCTTAGGGATTCTAGGCTGCCCAGGTGGGAAGGGGTTAACTGCTATTTTCTGGGCTTTTCTGCTCTTACATTAACTGGTGAACTGACCACATGGGAAGAGGATAAAAAGGTCCACTGATTTGCGAGCACCTGCACGCATTGTCTGGGGGAATTTACCTAGCAAGGACTTTCCCATGCTGCTATTAGGGATTCTAGGCTGCCCAGGTGGGAAGAGGTTAAAACTGCAACGTTTCTGTACTTTACCCACGAGCAACCTGCCCTATTGTCATTTACCTAGCAAGACTTTCCCATAGCACTGGACTAACCTGACCACATGGGAAGAGGATAAAAAGGTCCACTGTAGGAGATGTACAGTACCCACGAGCAACCTGCACGCATTGTCTAGGGGGAATTTACCTAGCAAGGACTTTCCCATAGCATGGACTATTTACCTGGAAAGGTGGAAAGGTATACCATGGGAAGAGGATAAAAAGGTCCACTGTAGGAGATGTACAGTACCCACGAGCAACCTGTATGCATCGTCTGAGGGAATTTACCTAGCAAGGACTTCCCCATAGCATGGACTATTACCTGGAAAGGTATACCATGGGAAGAGGATAAAAAGGTCCACCGTAGGAGATGTACAGTATCTATGAGCAACCTGTATGCATCGTCTGAGGGAATTTACCTAGCAAGGACTTCCCCATAGCATGGACTATTACATGGAAAGGTATGCCATGGGAAGAGGATAAAAAGGTCCACTGTAGGAGATGTACAGTACCCACGAGCAACCTGCACGCATTGTAAAAAGGTCCACTGTAGGAGATGTACATTACCCACGAGCTGAATCGTCTGAGGGAATTTACCTAGCAAGGACTTTCCCATAGCATGGACTATTACCTGGAAAGGTATGTCATGGGGAAGAGGATAAAAAGGTCCACCGTAGGAGATGTACAGTACCCACCTAGCAAGGAGCAACCTGTACGCATTGTCTGAGGGAATTTACCTAGCAAGGACTTTCCCATAGCATGGACTATTACCTGGAAAGGTATGTCTGGGCAACCTGAGAATAGCTAGTTAGGGTGAGACTGTGGTTATGTTTGGGACTGTAACACTAAAGAGTTTCCCAGTAAAAGATGTTAACTGTTCAAATTCCTGGTCTGAATTTACTACAAGGGGTGCATGGTGGTATACGTAGGAGAGTATAAGAGTACCCACGAGAACTGGGCCTGTTACTAGCAAGGACACACACGCAGGGTGAAATGGAGAGAACAGTCATTGTGAGACTGGGAATGATATGGCAACCAGAGTTTCCCAGCTGAAGGACGGTACCTGAATTTACTGAAAGGGTGTTGGGTTCTCTGCAAAGAGAGGGGATTGGTTCACTGTTTCCCTTCCAAGTGGTCGGTGCCCCAGCTAACTGGGACTGAACCTGCATGGCAAAGACCTTGGTGAGTTAGCTGCGGGTACGGAAGGAGTTAAGTCAGAACGTGCACACCGGAGGTCCGCGCTGGTGCACTATCACTGGGAGCGAGGTGCCGGGAAGGCTGGACTGGAGGTACGGGACGTAAGCTCTGTGGTGTCCCCATCAAAATGTCACATTCCAAAACGATGTCTGTATTATGGGACAGTGTGGCTCACTCAGCAAGGCCTTAGGTTGTGATACAATGGTACCAGGTGTACGGCTCGCTTCCAATTCAGGATGCTGCCTAAATGTTGACTTCACATGTAAACAGCCCACCTTGTCCTGAGCATTAATGAGAAGGAGAAGAGAGTGAAAAGGCCCTTTGTGCACGGAGGACTAGGCCCTGCGTGTGGCAGTTGCTTGGTGCAGTTGTGGATGGCTCTGGTCTCTCTTCTCTCTTCTCCTCCCTGGGACCACCATCAACTAGAATGCTATGCACTGAAACTACTCCAACTACCAGAGAGTCTGTGGGGAGGGGGGGTTATATGGAGTTGGGGTGCACAATGGGGGGAGTATGGAGTTGGGGGACACAATGAGGAGATGAAGGGAGTGGTGTGCACAATGGGGGGAGTATGGAGTTGGGGGACAGAATGAGATGAAGGGAGTGGTGTGCACAATGAGGGGATGGGGTATACAATGGTGGGATACTCACTTAAGATGGTGCAAGGAGTGGATGAGAAATAAATAATAGTCCAGCATCAAAAAAAAAATATATATCAATATCAATGCAATTGTGTTGCTGCTGCATACATGTCCTTATCAGGTCCGTGACTTTGACACTTCTAACGCTGTGATACGAAATAATAAGAGTGTAGTCCACCATTCATAAAAAATAGTGTACACCTTCACCGGCTGTTCTCTCACCTGGTGTATATGACCAAACTGTTAAGTGAGGTCATAAAAGGCTTGTTTCCCATTAATTGGACTTGGTGGTAAATGGATAGGATTGTCCCACTTTCCTTGGAATGGATGGATGGATGGACAGAGTTAGCCTCTTCCCAGCAGGGGATCTCCTTGCTTCCTTATGGATTTTCCTGGAGTCGGATGGATGGAAATATCCCTCTTCCCACTAAGGGGTCTCCTTGCTTCTTTAGGAATTTTTCTCCATAGGTATTAATAGCAATGAAATTGCCCTTGATAAAGCCACATGACCCGGTGGCGTAACGCGTAGGGGAGGAGCTCTGACATCACGACGCTTAAAGGCAACACACAGCAAGTATTCAGCAATATTGAAAAATACATTGTGGATCCAAATTTCAACATTTTAATGCGTTTTTAACTTGAAATACATGTGAGTGCGCCTAAAGGTGAGGAGGGAAGGTGACATTCTGATGGATTGAGGTAGTGAGTTCCAGAGGATGGGGGAAGCCCTGGAGAAGTCTTGGAAACGGGCATGGGAGGAGGAGACCAGGGAGCTAGAGAGTAGGAAGTCTTGTGAGGAGCGGAGAGTACGTTTTGGGTGGTAGATGGATATCAGGTCGGTGATGTTGATGTAGTTTGGGGCAGTATTATGAACAGCTTTGTACGTCAATGTTAAAATGACTTTTTTATATGTTAAAAAAAAATCTGAAGAATATATTTAAAAAAAATATATATATATTTGTAAAAATACATTTGTGTTTTTTAAGATATACAGTATATTTGAAATGTATTTTTACAAATATATATATATTTTTTTAAATATATTCTTCAGATTTTTTTTTAACATATAAAAAAGTCATTTTAACATATATTTTACATATATTTGGAAATGCATTCCAAAAATGTAGATTTGTATTTTTAAAGATATACAGTATATTTGAAATCTACATTTTTGGAATGCATTTCCAAATATATGTAAAATATATGTTAAAATTACTTTTTTATATGTTAAAAAAAAATCTGAAGAATATATTTAAAAAATATATATATTTTTAAAAATATGTATTTTTAAAATATACTCTTTCTCATTCATCTATTCCCTCTCTAACCCTTCTACTCTCCCCACCATGCCTCTGGTACCTTTTTCATAGGCTTTTTTGAGTTTGGGCAAGGACACAGGGGCCCCATGATCCCCTATTGCCCGGGGGCCCCATGAGTTTTCAGTCTGCCCCTGATGTTAACATACAGTTTTGCCTTCCTTCAACCATCTAAGCTGTTGCATTTTATGTTTCTGTGCTTTTCTCCCCACCTTTATATGGACATCATGTCTACTCTCACTAATTGTCCTGTACATATGTCTATGGATTGTCCTATGCCTATGTTTTCCATCCCCTGTAAAATAATAAAATATTTGCTGAAAAAAGTCATTTAAACATATATTTTGTAATAAATTTTCAAATATATATATATATATATTATATATATATATATATATATATATATATATTATGAAATGTTATATATATATATATATATATATAACATTTCATATATATATATATACTGTATTTCAACATGCAGTGTGTGTGTATATATATATATATATATATATATATATATATATATATATATTGAATATGGCCAAATTTGTAATATTTCAAATATATGGAAATATATTTGGGAAGAATATTTTTAAAATATATTTCAAATATATTTTTCTTCCATATGGGTGGTCACCCCAGTGCCCATAGGTATCCTTTCATGAGTTGGCCATTTTCCTGTTTTAGCAGTAATAGACAAGGTTTAGATTCCTCTCTAGTAGAGTTCCATATGCAGTTGACAGCTTGCAGCAAAGTAAGTGTGAGTAACAAATGCAAATCTAATATTTACAGCTAATTTAAGTCTAAAAATACTTTAACGCAATTATGTTAACACTCGGTTAGGGGGAAACACAACAAATAAACTTGTCAGATGAAAGAACAAGAGATGATGTGAAGAACGAGGGGGGGAGAATGTGATGAAGGTGGGGGAATTACTTCGGAACATAACACCAGAACCATTAATGTAGTCACATACAGCGTGGGACTGACGGTATTTGACAAGCGAACAGTAAGCTGAGCGGTAAACTTTACCTATCAATCAGGACCGGCTTACAACAGCTCAGATTGGCCAGACCGGTGAAAGGTATGGCAATGGGCTCTTAACCAGTAGAAGGTGTCTACAAAGACCTTCTGAATGCTGTAAGTGATTGAGTGGGTTCATTTCTCTGAAACTTTGATGAGAATTGGGAGATTCAAAGTTGTAGTGGAGTCTGTTTTTTTTACTTGTACCTATAGGTTAGCCCATGTGAAGGTTTACCTGTAGGTACTGTAAATATCTCCTAAACATGCACCGTTAGAAGACTTCACCTCCGCAACATCTCCGAGATACGCCCGTTCTTAACCTCTGAAACCAGTAAGCAACTTATTCCCTACCTTGTTATATCTCGCCTTGACTATTGTAACTCCCTCCTCATTAGCCAACCTCATCCCAGGCTATCCCCTCTTCAGTCTATCATGAATGCTGCTGCCAGACTCATCCACCTTACTAACCGTTCTCCACTCAGTGTCCTCCATCCCTCTCTGCCAATCCCTCCACTGGCCTCCATTCAGTGTCCTCTGCCATCCCTCACTGCCAATCCCTCCACTGACCTCCACCTCCACTCAGTGTCCTCCACCCCTCTCTGCCAATCCCTCCACTGACCTCCACTCAGTGTCCTTCACCCCTCTCTGCCAATCCCTCCACTGACCTCCACTCAGTGTACTCCACCCCTTTCTGCCAATCCCTCCACTGACCTCCACTCAGTGTCCTCCATCCCTCTCTGCTAATCCCTCCACTCAGTGGCCTCCACTGGCCTCAGTCAGTGTACTCCACCCCTCTCTGCCAATCCCTCCACTGGCCTCCACTCAGTGTCTTCCACCCCTCTCTGCCAATCCCTCCACTGGCTTCCCATTGCCCAATGAATAAAATTCAAAACATTAACAACATCATATAAAGCCATTTATAACTCTGCCCCAAATTACATCACCAATTTTGTCTCCAAATATCACCCAAACTGTCCTCTCCGCTCCTCGCACGACCTCCTGCTCTCTAGCTTCCTTGTCTCCTCCTCCCATGCTCGTCTCCAAGACTTCTCCAGAGCCTCCCACATCCTCTGGAACTCTGTACCCCAATCTATCAGACTATCGCCTACTTTGCTCACTTTTAGGCGATCTCTGGAAACCTCTCTCTTCAGGGAAGCCTATCCTGCCCTCAGCTAAAAATGGAATCTTCTATTCCTCCTACCAGTCCATCACCCACAGTTACTATCTTTTGTACCACTAGCCCCTCCCTCTTAGATTGTAAGCTCCCAGGATCAGGGCCCTCCTAACCCTCTTGTATTGAACTGTATTGTTGCTGTATTGTCTCCCGTTATATTGTAAAGTGCTGAGCAAACTGTTGGCGCGTTATAAATCCTGTATAATAATAATTTAGGAGATATTTACTTGTAAAGCAGCACAGGCGCATGTGCTCTGAGGGGATGGCATGCCAACTTTGCTCTTTGTCTCATACTTTGAAGTCTGTCTTTCTTTTCTTTGGGATTTATCATCTCGTTCTTGGACTTGGATCTCTATTATCTTTGCTTGCAATAATGAATAACTTTTTTTTTATTTATGCTAGTTTATTTATTATTGTCCATGTAATGGAACCGACCCAGACTGCGCTTGAGTACTTCTGTTAGACTCCCGCTTCCCGTCGTCCGAAACACCGACAACAGACACCACAGCCGACCATACAAAAGTAGACGACACCAGTCTTGAAGTAAATTAGGAGGTAGACTACTTTATTTCAACACAGATACAAGATATATACTGTACACTCAGGGGACAATCCCCCCTCCCTGCATAATGAAACAGGGCGGGGCAATCTACATTTAGTAATAAGAGACACACAGGTATTCAAACTTCACACCAGCAGGCAGTCCCATCAGGAGGGAGGGCTGCTGGAGACACCCCCCCCCCCTTTAATACACATAAACACATACATCCCATAATAGTTTGCTCCCAAACAATAGAACAATGGGATGCAGCCACTTAACATCAAGCAATCAACAACCCCCCCACACCCCAATATATTAGGACAGATCACCCTGTACCCCTAACAGGCACAGGGTGACTTACACATAAGAGGGATATGGGGAGCTGAGACAGGGGTCTCCCCACTTCTTCAAGTTGAGCTGTGTTCCATGGGCCCCCCACCCAAAGTGACTCCCATCACAGTCCATCTGCACGTTTATACAGTGTAAAAATAAACAAATAAATGATTTAATAAATAAATCATTTAAAATTTAAAATTCATTAATTTGAATAAAATGAAAAACATGAAAGTGCCCCCGTTCCCCCCCACAAAGGTGAATGCACGCATGCAAACAGCGATTGTCTTATACATGTGACGTATCCCTGCAAGGGACAGATCATGGGCAGTAAGGTCACCAAACCTCCTCTATATATCTAAAATGGTAACCTGTAAAGGCTTTTAAAGCATCGCCTATGAATAGTAAAATTTGCACCGTTTGTCGCTGTTGCATGGACAATTCTAAAGCCTGACACACTTGGTATCTATTTACTTGGCGTAATCTTTTATAATTTACAAAAAAAATTGGGTTATGTATTTTGTTTTGTTTTTTTTTTTGCAATAAAATTCAAAGGTGTATTTCTTTCCCAAAAATTGCGTTTGAAAAACTGGAGCGCAAATACTGTGTGACATTAAAAAAAAAAAAAAAAGGCAAAACCCACCAATTTGTTCTCGAATGCCTTTGCTTTAAAAACTATATATAATGTTGGGGGTGCTAAGACATTTTCTAGAAAAAATACTTTTTTTAAAATGTAAACAAAAAGTGCCAGAAATGGCCTGGAGCTAAAGTGGTATACAGCACCATTTTATTTGTGTTTATATTTACTCTTCAATTTTTATATTTTTATTTAGCTCTCAGGAGCTCAGTGACTCCAAGCGTGGTCCCGTGATAGGTGGTCACCTGTGCAATAAGTCCATCCGTGACATTTCCTGGCTACTAAATATTCCACGCTCAACTGTTAGTGGGATTATAACAAAGTGGAAGCAACTGGAAACAACAGCCACTCAGCCACCAAGTGGTAGGCCACGTCACATGACAGGGCGCGGTCAGTGCATGCTGAAGCGCACAGTGCGCAGAAGTCACCAACTGTCTGCAGAGTCAATAGCTAAAGACCTCCAAACTTGGTGTGGCCTTCAGATGAGCCCAACAACAGTGTGTAGAGAGCTTCATGGAATGGGTTTCCATGGCCGAGCAGCTGCATCCAAGCCTTACATCACCAAGTGCAATGCAAAAGCGTCGGATGCCGTGGTGTAAAGCACGCCGCCACTGGACTCTAGAGCAGGGGAGACGTGTTCTTTGGAGTGACCAATCACACTTCTCTGTATAGCAATCTGATGGACATGTCTGGGTTTGGCGGTGGCCAGGAGAACGGTACTTGCCTGACTGTATTGTGCCAAGTGTAAAGTTTGGTGGAGGGGGGATTATGGTGTGGGGTTGTTTTTCAGGGGTTGGGCTTGGCCCCCTAGTTCCAGTGAAGGGAACACTTAAGGCATCAGCATACCAAGACATTTTGGACAATTTCATGCTCCCAACTTTGTGGGAAGAGTTTGGGGATGGCCCCTTCCTGTTCCAACATGACTGCCCACCAGTGCACAAGGCAAGCTCCATAAAGACATGGAGGAGCCAGTTTGGGGCGGAGGAACTTGACTGGCCTGCACAGAGTCCTGACCTCATCCCCATAGAACACCTTTGGGATGAATTAGAGCGGAGACTGCGAGCCAGGCCTCCTCCCCAGACATCAGTGCCTGACCTGACAAATGTGCTTCTGGAAGAATGGTTCAACCTTCCCATAGACACCCTCCTAAACCTTGTGGACGGCCTTCCCAGAAGAGTTGAAGCTGTTATAGCTGCAAAGGGCGGGGCCAACTCAATATTGAACCCTACGGACTAAGACTGGGGACCACTAAAGGTCATGTGCGTGGAAAGGGTGGGGCCAACTCAATATTGAACCCTACGGACTAAGACTGGGGACCACTAAAGGTCATGTGCGTGGAAAGGGTGGGGCCAACTCAATATTGAACCCTACGGACTTAGACTGGGGGGCCATTAAAGGGCATGTGTGTGTGTTAAGACAGGCTGACCAATACTTTCAATTAAACTGTGATATAGCTGAAGCTTTCCTTTTGGCACCCAACATCAACTTTGTAAAGCCAGTTCTTTCACTCTGTCGATGGTATTATACTTCACTTTCAGTGGAAATGGAAAAATCTGATTTTCGACACTAGTTTACCATTTACTCCACGTGTACAGAATGTTGTCAAAACATCTCTTTTTTTCGCTCGGCTACACCCTGTGTTATCATACACTGGCTGGAAAGCTGATCAATAGATACACGTTCTCCTGACTTGGCTACTGTAATGCTCTGTTTGATAGGATACTTAAATCCACACTAAACAGACTGCAGCACGTCTGAAATTCGTCTGCCAGAATCCCAACTAGGTCAACGCAAGCGATCGTATTAAATAAAAAAGTAGAAACCGCGCACTATTGATCCAATAACAAACTTACAACTAATAGCGGCAAACACAAACCAGAGAAATATCCCACCCAGTGTATACAAATATCAATAAGCAGTGTTGCGCTCAAATGTAAAAAACAACCAATGAAATCAAAATAACGAACAAAAAAAGTCCCGTTCAAGATGTGCAAATTTGTGAAACCGCACTTCTTCTCCCCTGTTTGTATCCAAAGTGCCACCAACACCAGCTGGACACCAAAAGTGATATGAAGAGGGTCACTTACTGACTCTCCATTACCCTGTTAACCAATTCAATACCGGGCAATTTTACACCTTCCTGCCCAGGCCAGTTTTCAGGTTTCAGCGCTCTCACACTTTGAATGACAATTGCGCGGTCATACAACATTGTACCCAAACTAAAATTTTATTATTTTCTTCACACAACTAGAGCTTTATTTTGGTGGTATTTAATCACCGCTGGGGTTTTTATTTTTTGCTAAATTAACAAAAAAAGACCAAAAATTTTGAAAAAAAAAAGTTTTGCTTTGTTTCTGTTATAAAAGTTTGCAAATAAATAATTGTTCTTCATAAATTTAGGCCGAGATGTATTCTGCTACATGTCTTTGGTGAAAATAACCCAAATTAGGATGTATTACTTAGTTTGTAGGAAAGTTATAGAGTTCACAAACTATGGTATAGATCTGAATATTGATCAATCCTGAAGTACTGACGGCCAATCTAATTTCTTGAGGTCCAAGAATGTCAGAATAGTACAGATATCCCCCAAATGTCAGGACAGTACAGATATCCCCCAAATGTCAGAACAGTACAGATATCCCCCAAATGTCAGGACAGTACAGATATCCCCCATATGTCAGGACAGTACAGATATCCCCCAAATGTCAGGACAGTACAGATATCCCCCAAATGTCAGGACGGTACAAATATCCCCCAAATGTCAGGACGGTACAGATATCTCCCAAATGTCAGGACAGTACAGATATCCCCCAAATGTCAGGACAGTACAGATATCCCCCAAATGTCAGGACAGTACAGATATCCCCCAAATGTCAGGACAGTACAGATATCCCCCAAATGTCAGAACAGGACAGATATCCCCAAATGTCAGGACAGTACAGATATCCCCCCAAATGTCAGAACAGTACAGATATCCCCCAAATGTCAGGACGGTACAGATATCCCCCAAATGTCAGGAAAGTACAGATATCCCCCAAATGTCAGGACAGGACAGATATCCCCCAAATGTCAGAACAGTACAGATATCCCCCAAATGTCAGAATAGGACAGATATCCCCCCAAATGTCAGGACAGTACAGATATCCCCCAAATGTCAGGACAGTACAGATATCCCCCAAAT